CCCCGGGTCCCCGATGGAGCCAGGAGCTCTGCAAATGAGTTCCTCACGCAACGTCCCGCTCTATGTGGGAGGTGCCCTGTGACAGGGAGGTGGTGTCCCGGGCATCCCTCCCTGTGTGACTCCTGGGTCTTGGGAGGCAGCTTCTCATGGCCCCTGTGGGTCAAAGCTGAGAAGGTGACACTGAGAAGCAGCTGGAGCCGGGCCATGGCCAGGATTTGTGCAGAGCTGACCGGCAGGAAGGGGCCCGTGCATGTCTGTGGCATTAGCATCCTCCCAGTGACAGGGACGCCTGAAGGGGAGACGAGTGGCTTTCGGACAGGGGACCACCGTTGTCTTCAGCAGGTCCCCTGCACCTGCCCTGACCTTGCTTTCCTTGGGAGAGTGGACTGAGGCCTGGGACACAGCCCTGAGCGTGCCTAGAATGTGTTGGGGGGAGGGGGAGGGGGACACTTGCACCCATGTAGGAGGGGACACCGGGACGTCAGACTGGGCCCCGGCTCAGGCATATTCAGCAGGGGTTCCAGGAGCTCTGGGAAGGAGGGGACATCCAGAGGGCCCGGGGGTGGAGCAGGAAGGACTCAGTGTTGGGAGGAGGGGGAAGGACATCGCAGGTGCTGCCTGTGGGCAGGGACGGGTGGGGACCCTATGAGGCTTCAGCTCGGCCACTGAAGCCACCTACCGCCTCAGTGCATTGAGTCCCCACAGCTACACTGGAGGGAACCGGGGCCCAGGAATCTCACCCAGTTAGTGTTTGGTCTGCTCCCTGCCCTCTGAGCGGCTTAAACCACAGACACGGATTTCTCACAGTTCTGGAGGCGGGAAGTTCAAGGTCAAGGTGTGGGACAGGCAGGTTTCCTTCTGAGCCAGGTTTGGCTCTTGGCTTGGTGGCCGTCCATCCACAGGAGCTCTTCCTGAGCACACGCAGAGAGGGACCTCGTCTTAGGAGGAAGCTAGCCTTGGGAGCAGGGCCGGTTCTGGGGACCTCAGTCAATGTCGCTTCCGCAGAGGTCACATCTCTGCGGATGGCTACTCTGAGAGTTAGGGCATATGAACTTGGGGACACAAACATTCAGTCTCTAGCAGCTACTAAGGGGCCAAATTGAAATTTAGACCCAGATTGTCTACAGCCTGGGGGGTTCCAAGCACCGGGGGGCTGCGGGAGTTCAGGGGCTGCTCATGGAGCCCGCAGAGCCCAGGAGAGCCCAGAGCCCAGGAGTGGAGGAGGGAGCTTTCCAGGGAAGGTCAGAGGTCAATGGAGAGTGCAGGGAGCTCCTCTGGGCGGGGCCAGGGGCTCATTAGTAGGAGGCCCAGCTGGCTGGCTACTCCAGACCGTGAACTTGGCAAAGGGCAGTCATCTAGGGCAGAGGGTGACCTGTCCATGCAGAAATGGTTCCTGGGGGGGTCCTAACCGGATCAATGAGGGCATCCAGGTCCATGAGAGTTCAGCAGGCCCTGGGGACGGGACCCTGGACCCCAGGCAGAAGAATAATGACGGAGCTCACTCACCAGCATCAGGCCACGTGCTGAGGACCTCCCAGGCCACTAGTGCTGTTGACTGGACATTCAATCGAGCCTGTCACCTCCTGTGTCTCTCAGACACCGTGAAAAGCTGCTCATTATCCCCACTGTCCAGAGGATCAAACTGAGACTCAGAGAAGTTGAAGGAGCTGGCCCAGCCCGTGTTGGGCAGTGCTGCGAACGCAGGACCCCAAGTCCCCGTGTGTGTGCGTGTGTGCGTGTGTGTGTGTGTGTGCTTGCGTGCGTGTGTGTGCTTGTGTGTGTACATGTGCGTGTGCTGGGGATGAACCCAGGGCCTGCCGCATGCTGGGCAAGCGCTCTGCCATGGAGCCACACCCACAGCCCCTTGGACTCTTTTAATTGACACTTAACAACTCTCCCTCTGTGGAGACCCAGCGGGATCACTCCATGCTTGTATGTAGTGTGTGAAGATAGATCAGGGTGACGGTCTCCTTGACCATGTTCCACTTTCTTCGTGCTGGGAAACTCTGAACTCATCTCTTCTTTATAAACACACGGTCGATTGTTAGAGATCACCGAGCGGCAGAACCTCGGATCTCACTCCCCTGCGCAGCGGTGTCCGGTACCTGGCGTCCACTCTCCCTCCCGCCCCGTCTCCCCTGCCCACCCCCGTGGCCACGGTTCTGTTCTCTACTCTGTGAGACCACATGTGATGGAGGACGCGCCGTATTGGCCTTCCTGGGTCCGACTTACTTCACTGGACATAGTGCCCCCCAGGCTCATTCATGTGGCTGTGAATGACAAGATTCCCTTATTTCTCTGTGGCTGGCTTGTAGCTGGCCTGGGCCACAGGAGTCACACCCGTGAAGAGGATCCATAGTGGGACCCGCGGTCCTGCTCGGATTCCAGAGCGCTGTGGGTTCACTTTGTTTTGGCAGTTGGAGCGGCCGAGTGGCTGTTCAGGCCCCAGAGACCAGGCTGGCAGCCCCGCCCGTGTGGAAAGGAATCCACGAGTCCCCTCCTCCGGGCTGGCCTCTGAACCTGTGAGGGCCTCCAGCGCCTCCAGCCCCCTCGTGCCCATTTGATCTGTAGCTGCTGGAGGGGCCAGAGGTGCTGGGGGACAGCTGGGAAGCTGCTTCCTGCCTCCCCGCAGGTGCCCAGGGTGAGTGATCATGGGGGGAGGTGGATTGGGGGGCTCACTGTTTGTTTTAATGCTGGCACTTGCTTGCTGAGTTCCTAGCAGGCTTCACAGCAGTTTGGAGGAGGCACTGGGTGGGGCCTTACATCCCACCATTAAACCTGTGCCCAGCCCCCAGGACTTTAGAACTCAGAAAGGGGTGCAAAGACACAGAGGGAAGGTACCCATTTCCATAACAGCAAAGGCCTGGAACTAACTGAGGTGTCCATCCGAAGGGGAATGGTGGCTACGTCATGGTACGTCCAGAGGATGGAGTAATTATTCAGTAGCTGAATAAAGTCCAGACTCACTAAGAGAGAGAGACGAAAAGAAAAGTCAACTCAGAACAGGGTGAAGAGCAGGGTGCCACCTTGCAAGACCAGCGTGTGTGTTTGAGTGAGCACAGCCTCTCCACAGCGTCCTCCACAATCTTAGGAAAAGATGCAAGAGACAGACACCATATTTGGAGCTTTTACTTCTTAATTTACGTAAGTAAGAAAAAAAACATCTTTGAGAGTGCAGGTGATTGCCCTTTTCTGATGTGTTTTCTGTAAACAATCTGCAGTGGCTGATAATTATGACAGATCTGTATACTAATGTGGAAAGATCTACGCTCTGAAAAGAAAAGAAGAAGGAGAAATGGTGAGTCAGAGAACAGCAGGTATGGGATGGCCCTTTTCTGTCTGCAAGAACAAGCCCAGGGCCTCCACGTGCTGGGCAAGTGCTCTACCACGGAGCCACGTCCCCAGCCCCTGACCCGTCCTCCGTCAAACAAATCCTACCCGTAGAAGTCGATGTCAGGTGGGGGAGGAGTCAACTCGCAGCTCTGGTCAGGCTCACCTCTGAGGAGGGGCCAGGACTTGTAGGACGACGGGGAGGGGTAAAGGGGACACTTAGCTCCCAGGGCTGTGACACCTTGAGGACAGGGACTTTGGTAGAGGGCAGCACATGGCGATGGAGACACACATGCAATGGGGAGGGCTCTGGCGCCCGGGGACTTGGCGATGCTGAAGGTGAAGGGGGCAGAGCTGACTCTCTGTGCTTGATCTTCACCTCTGGAGACCCGCAGCTGCCCCTCTGCTGTCCCCATGACTCAGGAGCCAGGAAGCCATCAGGGGACTGTGTGTGGTGGGTGGGATCAAGTGTGGGGCTTTGGCAGAGGATTGGTCCCTGCGGTTGCTGGGTAGCTGGGCCTTGTCTGCTGCCCGTCCCCCTGTTCTCCAGGGTTTTCTGGTGGGCGGAGGTCAATGCTAGGGCTGGGGAGTGTGGCTTCAGACCCTGGCTCCTTCCCCAGGACTGACCACAGCACACAGGCCCGCAGCCCACGGCCTCCACCACCCTGACCTTCCCGGGCCCTGATAAGGCTTAGTGTCCAGCCACAGAGGCTGAGGCTGCCCGCGGGGGATGCCAGCTCGGACTTCCAGGAGAATGGCCGGTCTCTGCTCAGCCCTATGTTGGGCTGGCCAGGGCCGGCCTGTGGAAGCACAAGGCCAGTGAGTCCCGTGGTCAGCGGTGACAATGGCCAGCATTCTGGCCCACGCTGTGCTGGGAGCACTTCACCCAGGGTCAGTATTTAAGGTTCACAGTTCTAGGAGGTGGGTGAGACCATTCTCCCTGCTTTGCAGGTGGGGAAGTGGGAGTGGGCCACCAGCCGTCCCAGGGCACCCGGCCAGGACACGGCAGAGGTGGGCCCTGAACTCCAGGCCCTCTGGCTCCGGGCCTAAGCTGTTTGGGCTCCCGGACAGAGACAAGAGCCCACTGAGGACTGTTCTGGAGCCGGCAGGGCGGCTCTTTGGGAAGAAGCAGAATCACCGAGCTGGCGTGGATCTGTCCCTGAGGCCTGTCCCTGCCAGTGGAGGCCCAGCGGGGCCCCTGGAGCCCGGCACCAGGCAATTAACGCGTTGGTTACACAGCGGGGGCTCGGGGTGAGACGACAGGGCCGGACGCTGGTTCTGCCCGCTGTTGGGCGAGCTGGGTGTGCTCCGCCCTTGGTCTGCTGTCCTGGAGACCAAAGCTCCTGCTCGAGAAGAAACTGAGTCCTGGAGGAGGAAGATCCTGCCGAGGGGACACCGCTGCTCGACCCGAGACCCAGGACGGAAACCCCCTCGTTCTGACCGCTTCTCTGGCCCAGAAGGCCCGGACGGGATATGCCTTCCGAAGTGGTCCAGGAGGCCTGTCCAGGGACCCAGCGCCCTGAGCCTGTGTCTGCTGGGCCCGGGGACAACAGGTGCAACCTGGGATGTGGGTCCACCAGCCCAGGCCCTTCCCTCCTTTTCTCCCCACTTCCTGCCCACGCCTCTCCCCCCTCCCTTCCCTCCCTTCCCCTCCTACGCCAGGAGTAGAGGACACTTCCAAAATCACCTTTACCAGCACACAGTCTGCATACACCAAGGCCTCCCTTCCGAGCGCACACTTGGAGATATTTTGAAAACGATTCCAGTTGCGAGCCAGTCTACCGTAGGGACATAGAACCCTTCCATCACCCTCAAAAGACATGCGCTCCCAACACTTTGGAGATGACCGCGTCCTCCTCCTGCTCCCTGGACATTAGCAGCCACTGATCTGCTTTCTGTCCCCACAGCTTTGTCTTCTCTGGATTTTCACACATCAGATGATCATGGACTCCGGGGGGCTTGTTCCCTTACAATCAAGCTTGTTTAGGTCCATATAATTTGCTCCGGTTCGTCTTTTTTATATAGTGTGAGGTCCAATGCAAAGCTGTTTTCGTCATCGTCATTGTCACTGTGTATATGGAGCTCAGAGCTGCAAATGACGGTGGATCCCCAGGCCTTGAAGCCCAATGGAGTTGGTCTGACTGGATCTTGAAGCGGCTCAGCGTGTCCGTGTCAGCTCTCCATCACTGTGACAACATACCTGCGGACATCGACTTAGAAGGGGGAAAGTTTCTTTGGCTCATGGTTTCAGAGCTTTTAGTTCCTGGTCACTTGGGCCTGTGGCTTTGGGCCCCGGGGCAGCCCAGCACATTCATGGCGGAGGCCCATGGCAGATCGAAGCTATTCACAAACAATGAGAGATGGGAGGGGGCTGGGGTCTTGGCGCTCCCTGGGAAGGCACACCCCCAGGGACCCAGCTTCCTCCCATGAGGCCCCACCTCTGGAAGATTTCGGCACCCCCCAGCTCACCACCGGTTGGGACACGCGGCCTTCAGGGGACACTCCAGGTCCAGACTTGGGATCTGTGACTGCTTTTTCCCTTCTATTTCCCGCCTGGTGTGGCCGTCAGACTTTGGGCTGGTGCAGCTGGGCTGGGAGGCTTCATTCCACAGACACATACCCCTTCCCCTTGGCCAGGAGTAGCCCTGACCTTGGCCCGCCTGACCTATGACCCCGGTGATGCATGAAGTCCCCGTCTGAGCAGTGACTGCTGTTTCTCAGGCTGATCCCTGAACTGAACCATGTGCGACTCTCGATCTGGCTACAGATTTGACTCTTGATTCCAGCTGATTCCTGGTCTGACCACAAACCTCAGACTCAAGGCTGGCTGCTGACCTTGGCCACAGGCTGACCTCTGATTCCTGGGCAGTGGCTGGCTGGTCAGCCTACGATCACTCAGTGGTGTTCCGTGGCCATTTCCCCGCTCTGGTCTGCATAAGGCACAACCCTCTCAGAGTAGGAGAGCCCCTTCACCCCCAAAGGGGGACACAGGGTCAGACAGTGAGGAGGCTGCATGCATTTGGGTTGGATTTGGTTCCCTTCCCTGAGGGACCAGCCCTTCTGGAATCCATATGCCACCTCAGGATTTGGGCATCCCTAATCCCTAGGGGTGCCATAGAGGGCACCCTGTAGAATCTGGATAATCTTAAACCACTCTAAATTGCCCTGGCGCAGGAGGCAGAAGACCAAGGTAGAATGATCCGATGTCCTCGTCTGAATGGACCGATCGGGTGGTGACGAGGCAGGTGGGACATGGCAGGAGGAGGCGGGTCACTGGGGCTGTGGCCTAGATGGGCACCTTCCCTGCAGACCCTTCCTGCCCACCACACATGAGACGGAACTCCTCCACACGCGCTTCCGCCTCGAAGCTCTGCCTCTCCTTGGGCCCATGGAGCAATGGGGTCAGACAACTAAGGGCCAAACCCCTGAAAGGTGAGGTCAAATGAACTTTTGCTCTGCTAAGTGAGTTCCTGGTGGGTCTTTTGATCACAGCAACAAAATGCAAACCCAGCGGTTTATGACTCAAGGTTTCTTGAGTTGAACCGCGAGATGGTGGCCTCGGGCCTTTGCACCCCGTCCCCTCTGCCTGGAAAGCTGTCCCCAGACACTGCACGGCTCAGCCCTGTTTTGGCTTTCTGCTCTCATGTCACCTCAGGGGGACCTTTCTGACCACTGTTTAGCTCCACCCCTTTCCCCCAATGCTGCACCCTTCCTCTGTACCTTTGTTCTGCCCAGAGGTTGTCGCCACCTGGTGCAGGGCATATCTTCTTTATTTTTGCTCATTGTCTTGCCGACTCTTCCAGAATATAAGTTTCGTGAGGGCAGGAGGTTTTGTCTGTTTTGCTCACTGTTGGAACCCAGTGCCCAGCACGTGAGGGCGCAGGCGACGCTCCGCGAGTGTGTATTAAGTGAGTGAAATCAACGATCCACGAGTGCAAGCCGCAGTGCTTACAGAAGGGAACTGCAGTGCTTGTGGTCCTTCGTGGGTGAAGTAACTGGAAGGAGACGGTCCTGTCTCTGAAGCCGCAGAGCCCCACCTGCCAGGAGCCTGCAGGGCCACTCCAGTCTGAGCCAGCTGCACTCAGGGGTGGCCTTGAGTGTGGCATGGCTGGCGGACCAAGCCCTCCACTTGAACTCAGCCAGTGTGAGCTCCTCGGCCATGTCACACCCCCTCTTGGAGCTCCAGTGGGCTCAGCTGAGCAGCCATCAGTGGGGAACCCAAGTACTCACCCCACAGGACGGTGGAGCCTGGAGGGACGAAGCATCCGCAGCCCTGGGTGCGCTTGGCTATAGCTGCTGGGACTCAGCTGAGCAGGTCTGCTCTGTCCTCGGGTCACCTGGCCTCCTTGTGGGCTGTGAGTCCCTGAAGAACTGGAACCTGGAGCCCTTGGCCCAGCGTCTTCCAAACAGCCTAGGCCAATAAGGTGGAGAGCCATGCATCTTATGGCTGACGATGGGCAAGCCCGTGACTGGTTCTGGATGCTGCCAGTCATGGCCACCAGGGGGCGGCCTGGCTATGTGCAAAGAGGGGGGCGGGGTTGCCCCTGGCTAGTGACTGCTAACTTGGGTTGTTCCGGCAGACAGGAGAGGCCTGGTCTGTCTGGGAATCTGTCAGTCATTCCTCACTTTCACCAGGGAAAGGCCCAGGAGGTCTGGCCTCCAAGCCTGGTTCCACCATTCACTTGCTGAGATCTTGGGCAAGGATACTCTTCCCTCAAGATCTCAGTTACCTCAGCCAATGAAGAGCGAGCATCAGCCACGGCGCGTCCCATCAGACTTTGTCCTAAGTCTTGAGTTGATGGCTGCATCCATGCCTGCCACAAAGTGCTGCCTCCTTTTCCTCCTGACTCCTTCTTCCTGGCTGCTGGAGGAAGGTCTAACCCTCTTATCCACGCTGCTCTCTGTCGGTCGATGGTAACACCACAGTTTCAGTGATGGCCTTCTGTGTGGTTGATGGGGAAGAAGGAGGAGCTGGGGGAAGGGTTTGAAGGCCCGTGTTAATTCACTCACTCAGGCAACAGTGAGTCCCTACTGTGTGCCAGGCCTCGTGGTGGGACCTGAGGACTCAGCCCTTGATCATACGGCCCATGCCTCAGGGCGATGGCACGCAGGCCCTGGCAGGACTGGGTGCCGAGGATTTTCCTTGGCCTGGCCCGCGTTCCTCCAATGTGACAGGGTAGTGCAGTGGTCGGAGCTTGCACTGTGGTCTGGGATACCCGCATCCAAACCCTGGCCTTACCGTTCACTAGGTGACCTGGGGCAGGTCACTTTACTTCTTCTGCCTCTTCGTTTCCCCAACTGTGAAACAGGGATGATAACATGACCTTCCCCACAGGGTCCTGCAGGGCTGAGCTCGTACTTAGATGAGCCCAGTCAGCCGCTGGACAGCTGTCAGCTAACATAACAATCCGGGATATCCACGGAAGATGGAAGGAGCACTGTGGCCACTCCTCCTGTCCTGCCTCCCTCCCAGGGCTCTTATTTGAGGGTCGGGTCAGTTGAGTTCATTTGGCAATTGGCATTTTTATTTCTGAATGTCCCCAGCCATCTCACAGAGGTTGGTCTTCAGTCACCCTGGGGGTCACCCACAGGTTCTGGGGCGGCCTCACTGGGGCCTCCCAACTCTCACCAGCAAGGGCAGAGGTGCTTAGGGTTACGGTGGAAGTGGGGTGGCTGACCCAGCCTGTGAGACAGGCCCTGTGCCGCTGCCGCTGGGGGTGACAGTGGTGGGGACACTCATGGTGGGGGTAATGGCTGGGGTGGTGATGGTGGTGGGTGGTGGTGGTGATGGTGACGGAGGAGGTGGTGGGTGGTGGGGTGATGGTGACGGAGGAGGTGGTGGGTGGTGGTGGCAGTGGTTACGGAGGAGGTGATGGGTGGTGGTGGCAGTGGTGACAGAGGAGGTGTTGGGTGTTGGTGGCAGTGGTGATGGAGATGTGGTGGTGACAGTGCGCATGGTGGTGATGGTGGGATGGTCAGGACTCGGTCAGTCCAGCCTTGCCCCGACCTGGCCACGTCATGGGTGCTGCTGGTCTTGGGACCCTAGGAGGCCCCCTGGCCTACAAGGAAGGTGGGTTTGGGCTGGCGGAAGCCGTGAGTGAGGGGCTGGGTGTCGGTGGCAGTGGCCTGTCTGACTACGGGTGTGGACGAGATGAGATCTTCACACCTGGCCCCTCCAGGATCACGGGCTCCAGTGACTCAGTGGAATCAGGCAAAGAGATTTGTCCCCTCTCACCCAAGTCAGGGAGGTGGGGACTAAGAGAAGTCCTCCCAGGGGCAGCTTCTCCAGGTCCCCAAAACCCCCCAGACAGTGAACCCAGGGTGGGGGGCAGCAAAGGACACACACCCACGAGATCCGGGTTCCAGCCCCGCCCCACGGAGCAGCCTTTGTGTGCACGGCGCATTACAGTTTGCAGAACATCTCTATGGGCATCGTCCCAGGCGGGGTCCCCAGGGGCCAGGGAGACAAGGCCTGTTTTCTCGTCTCAGGAAAAGGCGCCAAAGGCGGGTTGACTTGACCAAGGTCCTGTGGCTGGGGTGGAGCTGAGGTGGGCCCTGCCCCCTCTGTAGGTCTCCCTCCACCTCAGATGGCCCTGGCATGGGACCTGGCATGGGACCTGTCTCCTACCCTGTCCACCTGCATCCTCCTCGTCACAGGCCCTTGGGGACTTTCCAGCTCTGACCTTTTTAGGACTTTCTGTCTTCACTATCCTCTGTGGTGGCAGGTGGGGGATTATCACCCCTTTAAAGAGGAGGAACAGGTCCAGACGGGGAGGCCCGGGGTCAGAGCTTCAGGGCCAGGAAATGGCAGAGTCGGGTGGGGGTCTGCGGCCCCCGGCCACGAAGCCAGGGCCTGGCGGGATCTGGTTTCTAAGAATCCGAGGCTGCTCCCAAGCGGCCCGGGAGCAGGGACTTTCGGCAGCAGTTTCCCAAGTGTGAGCTCGGCCGGGCCTGCCGCTGGGAAGGGCGACCACTTCCTGCTCGGGCTGGCGCGGTCGCGCGAGGTGGTCATCAGAGGCGACCACTTCCCGGTCTGGGCCGTCTTCCCCTTTCTGGGCCTGGGAGGCGGCTGGGCTGGGCGGCCCTTGCGTGCTGCGGCCTGCGTGGCGTCTGGCCTCTTTTCGTTTCCCTCGCTCACCACCTCGCTCTCCACAGACACCAACCGTCGGAAGCTGCTCGCAGCTACCTGCCCTGTCCCTGTCCCTGTCCACAGCCGAGCCCCCCTGCCGGTGTCTGTCTCAGCCCCGAGGGGTCAGTCCCCAGGGCCTGGAGCAGGGCCTCCACCGGACCAGGTCCCACAGCCAGTGAGGGGCAGAGCTGGAATTCAGAGGTTTCTGACTCCAAAATCCACATCCCCCACCCACAGCGTCCCGGGCACCCGTCCGAGGACGTGTGGGCCAGAGCCAGCCTGGAACTGCGGGGCTGGGATGGTCCCACCAGAACCCAGCACTGTGAGGAAAGGGTGGCGTCCGCCACATCCCAGGGACAGCTGCGCCTGCCCCGGAGCAGGTTCTGGGGACACTTGTGGGGACAAAGGGGCAGATCGACGGTTCCTGTCCAGCTGCATCACACTCAGAAGCACCTGTGGAGTGCCAGGCCTGGGCTTGGGGACACTGACCTGGGGTGGGGGGCAGGCTGAGTGCAGTGGCCGTCATCTCCTTCTGGCCCAGTGGTGGTGCTGACCATGTGTAAATGTCCCCCACTCTGGTCCTTCCAGCAGGGAAGCCGGAAGGCTCAGGGACCCCAGGACACAAAGGCAGGGGGCAGCAGAGAGCAGGGGTAAGGAGCAGGGGCCGCAGGGGCCGCAGGGGCCTCAGGGGCCCTGTTCTAGCTCTGCCAAGCGTGGGGGCTTCAGGGAAGTGACGTCACGTACCTCGGTGTCCTTACCTGTCAAGTGGGGATGGAATAGTAGAAGCCTGTCCTGGACCTCGGTTCAGTGGCTCCCCATGAGCCTGGGGAAGGCAGGTGGAGAAGGTTCCTATAGGTATGAAGGTCACTGCCCGGAGCTCCTGCTCCTGCAGGCCCGGGCCACTGGTGGTCACTGCTGAACCCAGGACGAGAATGAGACCAGGAAAGAGCTGTTGTGTCTCTGAAAACTGAAAAGGGGCCTTAGGAAGGTCCCCAAGGAAAGGTGGGGTGTCAAAAAAAAAGAAAAGAAATAAAAAGTTCAGGATCAGACGTGAGCGAGACGGGGGGGGGCGAGGTAGGCGGGGTAGGGGTGACAACGGAGCCAGCCTTCCTTGTCCTTCATCTCACTTTTCATGGTTTCAGTTACTCTGGGTAAACTGTGGTCTGAAAGTATTAGATGGAAAATTCCAGAAACAATCGGTGAGTTTTCCATTGCGCACCTTTCTGGGGACGGTTTTTACACCTCACGGTGCTGCTCCATCCTGCCCGGGACGTGAATCATCCCTTTGTCCAGTGTCTCCAGGCTGGACACATGTGGTTCTCGGTGGCCACCTCAGTACCACAGCGCCTGTGTCCAAGGACCCTTCCTCTACTCACTAATGTCCCCAAGGTGCAAAGGCAGTGATTCGGAGGCTGGGACCCGAGGCACAGAAGGACGCGTCGAGTTCTGAGGCTTGTGGCGAGGCCGTGGGGCCTAGGGGGAAAACGCGGTGTCCGTTGGGTTAGGTGTTGTCTGGGGTTCCGGCATCCCGTGGGGACGCCCCACCATGGATAAGGGACACCTGTGTAGTTACACTGCTCCGGTGTGGGGAAGTAGCCCAGTGGCAGAGCGTTGGCCCTGGGTTCCAGCCCCAGTCCTGGATCACAAAACCGAGAACAAACAAATCACTCAACCCAACTGAAATTCATGCTGAATCAGGTAAGGGCTGAAACCAGGGGAGTTCTTGAAAATCTGGGGGTGAGGGCTGGAACTCGGGTCGTCTCGCGAGCCTCTCTAAGGTGTTACTCACCCTGCAGGAACCAAACGGGAACCATACACGCGGCTGCTTTGGTTTGTTTAATGCAAGAAAAACAGGGCAGGACTTCCGCCGGAGGCCCTGGTCACCGAGGCGGCCTTGGGCCTGAGCCAAGAGATCATTTAATAGAAGCGCACGCGTGACTTTCCAATAACATCCAATAAGCTGTGTTTATGTTCAATAAAATGCCTATTTCACATAGCGTGAGACTTCCTGCTTTAAATATTTCTTTTCTACTTACCAACCACCGGCCTTCCTCCTCTGGACGAGCGGTTTCTTCTGTTAATAGTACGTACCTCCCAGGGCGGGTGCTAAGGCGGCCAGGTGAGGCCTGCAGAGATCTGGATGCAAGGCCCCTGGGGACACCAGCCGGTATCAGCAGTTGTCATCATCTTCCGATGCGCACGCCCATTTGGCAGATGAGGAAACAGAGGCTCAGAGGAGACACTTGCTGGAGGTGGTGACGAAGTTGGCTACAGGTCAAGGTCTAGGCTGGGCGCCCCGGGAACCCCTTCCTGCAGCTTGGCAGAGCCTCCGCCAGTCACTGTTTTACAGAGGGTGGTGACCGAAGGGCAATCCGGGACATCAGGGACAGAGTCTCCAGCATCCCTCGGGGTTACAAAGCCCCATCTCCACTGCCCAGTTGTGAGCGCCCCTTCTGTCCTGGTTCAGGTCACAAAAAACACTGAGTTTATCATCTCGGAGCCTCTGTATCCACCGCGGGTGTATTTTTATCTCAAAGGCTTCATTCATGTCTTTAATTATTTGTCTCTGTGTCTGTCTCCTCCCACAGGCCGAGCCCCCGGGGAGCAGGCCTGATTCATCTGGAGCCCTGGAGCCAGTCCCTGGCTTGGCACAGGGCGAGCGCTTCACATGTGCTTGCCGGACAGGGAGGGACAGAGCAGAAGTGAAGGAGGCGGCCCCCCATCCCTCGCCTCTCTGCGCCCGAGCTCATGGCTGGGGCCCCAGTGGGGAGACCCCAGGTTCCATCTGACTTTGGAACCTGCCAGAGTATCTCCCGGACCCTCTGATTCCCTGCCAGGTCCTGGCCAGGCACGCGAGGCCGCGGCGGGTGCCCGGTCCCTCTACTCTTTCTTCCCCTCCTCCATCCTTCCAGCCCCGGCCCTCCTTTTCCTGGGAGCCTGAGAGCTCAGGTGGGCAGGGAGACCCTGGGAAACCTGGCCCTGGGGCGAGCTCCCTTGCCACCATGGGTGGGGTGTGGCCCGGGGCTGTGTCTCCTTTGAGTCACCTCCGTGGCTGTGGCGCTGACTCAGATGGAGAGTGAGAAGGAGAACTCTGCTGGTCCTGCTTCTATAGTCCCGGCCGGGCGGGGCTGGCGGGAAGACGGGAGAGGAGGCCCTGGCCCTGGAAGGTGTGAGAACCCACGCACGGGGACTGACGCAACCCAGGTCTCTTGGACCATCGCAGTCCCACGCCTTCCGCACGGGCACGGCCAGCCTGGAAGTGGCACTGGGTGTGGCGGGGTAGCAGGGTATGACCCTGTCCCCAAACACGCCCCCCCCAGGACTTCAGACTCTGACCTGACAGCAGAGACCCCGGAGACCTCTGGGGACTGGATGGAAAGAATGACCACCCGAGCTGGCATCGTCTGGGCACGTAGGCCTGCTGGGCTCTGCTGGGCCGCTCTGCATAGGGGGTCTCATGGAGTCCTAACAGCCCTCCAAGGCCCCATTTCACAGATGGGGAAACTGAGGCTCAGAGGAGCAATGGTTTGCCCCAGGGAAATACTCTAGGTTCATAGGCAGCTGGGTCCCCAGGGCTGCCTGATCCCTCACAGTCCTCATCCCTGACCACTTGTCCCCAAAGCCACTGTCTCCCCCTTCTAGTTTACCTATATTCCAAGGTGCTGAGAATGGTCCTCTGACCCTGATCCCAGACCTGGGGAGGCATCCAGAGCCACTATTCTTTGTCCCCTGAAGGGCGACCTCTACCAGGAGCCTGCACTGCCAACCACAGCCGCCCCAGACCACCCCTCCCCAGACCTCTGAGCTCCAAGCAGAAAATATAGATGATCACAGAAAAGAAAAAGGAAATTCATTCCTTGACTTCTTCACTGGAACATTAGCACCTGGGTGTGTCTCATCCGCTTCTTATTTTACGTGCTACCATTTTGTTCTGATGAAAAAGATCCACCTGCCAACAGGCATTTCCTGAGTGCCCACAGGGGTGTGAGTGACAGGTCCTCCTCCCTGCTCCCAGCCAGGTGGCCTCCAAGTGCCCTGAGGCATGGGGGAGGGAGAGTGTGCTGGGGAGGATGGGGCTTTGTGGTCTAGAGGCCCAGACAGGGGGGCAGATCTGGGTTCCTGGCTGTGTGGCTGTGGGGGTGTCACTAGACCTCTCTGAGCTTTGCCTTCCCTACCTGGAGAGTAAGAATCATAGCGCCTGTCACGGAATGGCTTCTGAGAGTCAGATGGGTGGACACGGGGCGTGTTTGGTCAGTTGTGTGCTCTGGGGCTCTGGGGGACCTCTTCTCTGAGGGCATTTTTCTTCCTGGAGCTCCCAGGGAGGAGATGTGGCCCCAAGGTCACGGGAGACGCCTGGAGACAGGGTGTACAGTCAGGAGGGAGGCTGGGCCTGAGAACCTCGCCCCTCCCTGTCCTGTATCCAGGAAGCCCAGCCTCTGGCCTCGGTCTCCCTCCTGGTGGCGGCTCTCTTGGGTGGGATTCTCCACTGAAAACCAAAGCCGCTCCACAGCTGAAGACCCCCAGCCCTGGCCGGGGGGCATGGGGAACAGGTCAGTGAGGGGTTGGTGTCCTCAGGTGTGCGGCAGCACCAGGTACGCGGCAGCACCAGGTACCTGGCAGGTGCCCCATAAATGCTCATGGAACAAACAAAGGGGGAGGAGCCAGCAGGCCAGGGGGTGGGGCCCTGGGAGAAGGGAGGGGAAAAAGATTTCCCCGCCCACCTTTCAAGGTCCACGGAGCCCCGAGGCCACGGAGAAGCCCCCCTGGTGCCTCCCTCATCCTGAGGCCCCTGGTGGCCTGCGCTGGCCCTTTGTCCACTTTGTCCCCTGGGGCACCCCTCCCTCCTGTTGAGGTGTCCCAGTGCTCACTCCCCAGGGAACTTCTCAGGGACCTCTGCGTAACCTGATCCAAAAGGACGGCTGGTGGGTCTGGGGGACCTGCTGGTGCCGGCAGAAGACACCAGAGAAGGCCTGGAGGTGACAGCTTCTCCCCCCAAGGATAAAGCCCACCGCAGGGGGTGACAAACAGGAGCCTGTCCCGCAGTCCCCAGTGCGTGCTTCCCAGTGGCAGGAGGTGGCTGGCACAGGGGAAAGGACACAGAGGGGCGTGAGACGGGCCGGGCCTGGGTGCTGCACCGCGTGGCCTGGGACGTGGCCTCCTCGGGGAGCGGCTCTTCCCATCGTGGAGATGGAAGAGCCCCTCCACCCCAGTGTCACCCACACTCGCCAAGTGGCCCGCAGAGGGCTGGGCAGGTTCCCGGGGCAGCCCCAGGCCGAGAGCCTCAGTTGGAGGAAAGCGAGTAACTGTAATAACAGGACAGCAGCATCCGTGTGCCGAGGAGGGACTTTTCTCCAATTACCTCATTTGGTCTCCAGGGCGATGGCTTTGTACAGCAGGCACTACAGGCCACGGAGTCTGGGTGCCACGGAGTCTGGGTGCCACGGTAGGAGCCACTCCAAACCTCATTCCCTCATCCCCCACACGGATCCTTCGAGCCCCTACCCCAGAGCGGCAGTGTCTGAGAGGGATCACTCGGAACACCGTATGGCAGGAAGGAAGGGCTCAGATCATGTGATTATTAGTATTATCGACAAAGAGAGGGAGGCTCAGAGAGGTAAAGTCACTTGCTCAAGGCACACAGCAAGAAAGTGGCGGAGCTAGAATTTGACTTAGATCTGTCTGGTTCAAAGCCCCAACCCTTCCCTAACAGTCCCCTGCCTCCGCCTCTCGTGTCCCTTCTGGTCCTACAGGAGAGCAAGGCATGTAAAACCCAGTAGACTGGGAAGTGTCCTTCAGTACCACTCATTCCAGGGGATGAGAGAGGAGAGGAATTTGCCAAATGTCACACAGTCCATGTCCTGGCCAGGACTGGACCCCCAGTGGACAGACTCCCTAGCCAGGGTCCCCCCTTGGGGGGCAGGGCCAGTCCCTTTCTGGCCCCCGTCTGGCTCTCACCCCTTGTAGGGCACAGGAAGTGATGGCGAAGGCCAATTCCAAACCACAGGGAATTTTTTTTGTCTGGGCTGGACTAGAATCTGGCCAGGGCCACAGGTCAGACACTCTGTCACATGCAGAAGGCCAGGGGTGGTTAGTGGGGTGGGGTTCCCCTCTCCTGGAGCCAGACTGGCCTGCAGGGACCCACCCGGGGTCACGGGCAGCTGGGCCTCCAGCCCAGGGTCCCGAGGCCAGGCCGGGCCTGAGCGTTTGGTGAATCTGTGGCTTTCAGCTTTGAGCTAGCAGCGGTGGCTCGGGTCAAGGTGGCTCTTCCTGTGTCTATTTTGGCAAAAAGATGGCTGGGAGTGAGGGCAGGTCCACGGCACAGGCTTCCACCCGTCCCCGCGGCACGTGAGCCCCCAGGTCCCTGGTCCCCTATCCAGCAAAGATCCCCTCTCCACCCTCGCCATGTCATTGCAGGACCTTGGCCAAGTCACCCGGCACCTCTGCACCTCGGTCGGCCACGGGGTTGGGTGGGTGGATGCAGAATCACGAGGCCTGAGGGGAGCACTTGTCCCGGCCACCTGGTCCCCTCTTACAGAAGAGGGCCCGCTAGCTGGAATTGTCCTGGGCGACATGGAGGCCATGTGTCACAGCTGAGGAAACTGAGGCCCGAGAGGAGGGGCCCTCCCCAGAGCCACTGTCTCCGTCCACCATGGGCCATTTCTCTCTGCAGCTCGTAGCCAGGAGACAGGACTCACGGTGGGGGACCGGCCTGCAGCCAGGCTTCAGCCAACTCCAGCACCTCCTGAGTCACCAGCCTTCCTGGGACTCTGTCCCTGTCTGTGGGCCTGGGATGCCACTGACCCCACGTGCAGGAGGGTTGGGGCCTGGAGGGAGGAAGAGGCCTGAGGGATTCCCCGGGCACTGAAGGACGGCGTGGCTAGGACGGCCCTCCGCGCTCGGGGCCTGTGGGGCAGGACCCTCTGCTGTCATCCTGCCCCTCTGCCTGGGGCGCCCCTCATGGGAATGCCTCAGGACCCTCCAGCCCATGCTGCCCCTCACCTGGCCTCCAAGGCAGCTGGAGAAGCCCCAGGAAGGGTCAGGTCTCGGTGGCAGGTGGCAGGTGCCCAAGGCCCACGCATCCTGGGGACTTGGAGGATTTGCCTTCAAGGGAACGCTGCCTGCAGGCCAGCTGCCCTCTGGCTGGCCTGGCCCCTGGCATGGCTCTTCCTTGGCCATCTGTCCTCCCCTTGCCTGGGCCTGTGGTCCACCCACTGGCCACTGCACTGTGCCTTTTAGTGTGGCAGCTGCTGTGGGCCTCACATGGGCAGAGAGTGTGGCCCTCTGCGGGCACAGCTGCTCCAGGGTCAGAGAGGCCGCTTGCTCTGCACGGGCTGTGGCCGCCCAGCTGCCTGGACCAGTCCAAGGCCACAGCTTTCTGCGTTGACGGCAGGACTCACGGGACACCTCCAGACGGTGTCTGCTGCCCCCTTGACCAGGGCAGCCCACCTCCACCCAAGTCCACACTCAAGGGACCAAGACCCGTGGGTCCACCTCTTCCCTGACCCCTGCCACCCTGTGATGAGCAGCATCCTGCCCCGGCCCTGGTGACCTCCTGACCCCAAGAGCTGAGCTGAGGACTCCCGTCTCAGGGATCTCAGCCACTCCCAAGGTGGCAGGGAGTGGCAGGGCATGGGGACCCTCCTGCTTCCTTGATGTTCACGGGCCTTAAAAGTAGCCCAGGATCCGAGTCCACAGAGGGGGCGCCTGCCGTCCTGGAGGGGGTCCCCTGCACAGCCCTCTGGGACACTCCTGTCACACAGAGCCCAGGGCCTGTTTTCCCCAGAGGTGACCAAGGGGTCAGGCTGTGACATTCTAGAAACCGTCCCTGGAAATGGCTTCCTGGAGCTTCCCCTGCCTCTGGCCCCGGCGCTGGTGGTGTCTGTCCAGCTCACAAACCTTGAGGTCCTACTGTGTGCCCGGTCCTGTGCTTTCCCTGGAGCTTGGTGACGAGGGACCAGGTGGGGACATGACAGAAAAGCGAGACCTGGTGCCCTGTGGTAAACCTGCGGAGAGGTGCCGGGTGCCGCAGAACACCCCACACAGCCAGATCTGGACAGTTTCAGAGGAAGCCACCAGGCTGGGTGTGAGGCTCAGGTGGACACAGGCAAGCAGTGGGGGAGGGGCCTGCTGCGGGCCGAGGGAACAGCATGTGGGGAGACTCTGTGCCCCGGGTCTGCGTTTCCCCCCTCAGAGCCCAGACCTTTGTCACCACGGTTGCCAAGCTCCAGGGAAGCTGGCCTCGTGGCTAGGGGCACAGGCTCTGGTACCACGTGGCCTGGGTTCAATGCTTTGCCACTCATTTGCCATGAGATAGAGCATACGTTACTTCCACCCCCAACCGCCCACTTCCCAGATGAAGAGATGGAGGGTCAGGGAGGGTCACTCTGGGGAGAGGGTCACTCAGGGGAGAAGGAGGTCCTAGAGGAGCCAGTGCTAGGACAAGAGCTGAGGATGGGCGCCTCCCAGCTGGGAGTCCCCGCCTGAGCAGGGTGGTTCAGCCCTGGGCTCCCTGGGTGGCAGTGGGCACTCCCGAGGCCTTCCAGGAGTCCCAGAGAGGGAAGGCCCCGCCGGGCTGGGTTCTCAGGCCGCAGCGCCTGGAGCGAGCGTCAAACAACAAAAAGGCTTTTCTCGCTCTGAATGAGTCACCAGACTCGCTCGCAGACGTGTCCTGCGCCGGAGAAGGCGAAACCACACATCTGAAGAAGTTTCCCACGGCCACCGCCGGCTTTAAATAGCTCCAGCGAGAAGTGGGGGGTAGGGGAGGGCGGGGGAGCCGGGCTCTCCCCACAGCCTGCACCCCACCCAGACCCCGACCCGGGGCCCCTGCGGCTGGCACTGAGGGCAGCTCAGGCCTCAGGGGACCCAGTGGGGACCTAGAGCCCACGCTGAGCCTGGGGGCAGCAGAGGGACAGCTGGAGGGACATCCAGCGGGGCAGAAGGGATGAGGAGGCAAAGCCCAGGAAGGGGGAAGTGGAGCTCACCCTGCACCCCTCTGCTGCCTCCAGCCCCAGCCGAGCTTCCTCGCAGGTCACCTGACCTCCCTCCGCCCTGGCTGCCCCCCCAGCCCGGCGGGGTTCGTGACTGAGCCCTGGGCGGCGTTTCCGGAGACAGGCCCGGAGTGGGCTGCTGACGCACTTGCTGCCCCCCAGCAGGCCCGGTGAGAAGAGAGCCCCCCATCTCCCCTTCCAGTAAGCGAGCTCCGCCCGGCCTGGCAGGGATTCTAAGAAGGGAGCCGGCACCTGCTCCTCGCCCGCAGCGGGCCAGAGGTCCTCCCGCCCTCCAGTGCCTCCTCCACCCCGGCTGGAGGCCAGGGCCCTCCGTGTGGGTGCATGCCCTCCGTGCCCAGGTGGTCCCATCCGGATTCCTGGAGGGCTCAGGCATTTTGCAGAGGGCCAGCAAAGAACGTCAGGGATGCCTGCAAGACCAGCCCCTGCCCTCTACACCCTGACCAGCCCCCTGCGCCACCATCCAACAACACCTTCTAGAAACTCTGGGGTGGGCATGTGGGGTCAAGACACAGCATCTTGCTGAGGGGGGTCAGGAAGACAACAGTAGTGGCCAGGGCCCCAGCTGGGGTTCTCAGTGCTGCCGTCGCATTCGAGTCTCAAGTTATTATTATTATTTTTAATGCAGGTTCTGGGCTCCAGGTCCCAGATTATGATTTGTGCGATCAGGAAGGGACCCCGGAACCTGCATCCCATAAGGCTTCCCAGGTGCATCTGAGGGATCAGCCCCCGGGGAGGCTAGGCTCACCCTGCGGCCCTCCCCTCCCCCAAATGGCCTCAGGATAGGATGCATGGCTGGGGGGGATGGTGACCACGTCTCTGATTCATGTGTAGGACAGAGTGGTGGCCTCCCAAGCAGCCAGCGAGGTGACTGGCCCTGCAGTGGACAGCTCTCGAGCTGGGGTCCCTTGGCGCTCTCCTTTGGTGGCTGGCCAGCTCAGGCCTCTGCAGCTGCAGGGCTGGGTAGGGCAGAGGCCATCAGCCTGCCCAGGGGAGCACCTGCGCCTGGGCCCCTGGGCTGGCCTGCCGTCGCCCAGCACTTGGGAGCCTGGTCCTCCTGAGCCTCACTGCACCTGGTGGCACTCCTCCAGGTAACTTGGGAGGCAGTGTGGAACCCTAGGCCCAGCGCAGTGTCCAGCAGGACCGGGGTCAGCAGGACTTGTTGACAGAACGGTTTGCAGGGCCCTGGGTTGAGTAAGAGCCACTTCCCTCCTGCCTCTGACCCCTGAGGGTCGGGGTCCTGCACACAGGGCCCATCCTGTCCCTCGCAAGGCCACTGTCCTGCCAGAGACTGCAGACCACCTTCTGCACATTGGACAGCAGCAGGAGGGCTGGAGAGAGCCGCTTCCAGGGACAGCAGCTGGGCCAGGGGCAGGCCCAACCCTCCCGAGGGGGAGCATCTCGTGGGCTTCCTCCTGGCCCTGTCCATGGGCTGCTGCTCGCCAGCTCTGGGACGTCGACCAGAGGGTCACGATCCCGGCAAGCGCCGGGTCCCTCCTCGCTGGAACGCAGGCCCCAGGTAGGCAGTGCCCCTGGGCTTCGCAGGTACCCAGTCTGCACGGGGCGTTCGCAGGTGTGGGCAGAAGATGGAGGCTGCGGCGGCCCTCGGTCCCACGAGCGGTGCGCATGCGCACACGTGCTGCCTGTGCCTTCCTGCGCCTTCCTACAGGCGGCCAGGCCTGGCGAGCACACACTCCCCTCTGCAGGGGCGCCTCTGGTCCGGGCTTTGCACGCGGCCCTGGCACTTGTGCATTTGCACCACGTCTGTGTTCGCCGGGACACGGGGCCTGTGGGGAAGCGCGCGAGGCTTCGCAGTGCCCAGACCTTGGCGAGACCGACCCCCGGAGCCCGGGAGGTTCACTTCCTGGCGCGGAGGGGTGGGGTGTGCGCTGCACCCCGGGCGCCTGGGTTCCAAGTCCTGGGCCCTGGAGACCCCTCCCCTCAGAAGAGCAGCCTGTCCTTCCAAAGCCCCAGCCTCCTCGTCTGAGGAGGCCTCATCACGTGGTCGGGGCCACACCTATGCCCAGATCTCCCTGTGCCCCTGGCTCTCCTCTCTCAAGACTCTGCCTGGCATCTCCCCCTCCTCTCTGAAGCCCTGCACATCTGTGCAGGAGTCACCAACTACTTCTGAGCTCCACACAGTGCCAGGCGCTTAGCACCCCCACCTACCTTGGCACTGACCAGTCCTACCCCCCTCATTTCCCCCATAGCATCAAGAAAGAGTTCTGGCCAGAGCCTCATTTTATCAACAAGGAAAGTGAAGCTCAGAGAAGTTAAAGAATTGTACAAGGTCACACAGCACAGTGCATGAGAATCAGACACAAGCAAGACTCATGTCCAGCTACCTTACCCACCAGGCCACACGGCTTCCAGGTTGTAAGTGGCCAGCCAGTCTTGTGAGCCCCTCCCTGATGGACCTCAGAGGCCTGGGCACTTCCATCCCCCACAGATGAGAGGATGAGGCCTGGGACAAAGGGAGGGGCTTCTGCCCTCTTGATGGAGGACCTTCAACTCACCCTTGCTCCAGGCGGAGCATGTCTAGGCCTGGGGACCTCTGAGTCTACCCCAGCGGGGACACTGTGAAGCCCCCACCTTCCCATTGCCACACAGCGCTGGCCTGGCAGCCCCACGGGAGACCAGGATGCCTGCCAACGGGCACAGCTCGGGTGTGCTTCCCCTTGGCACGGGCCTGCGTGGGGGGACCATGTGGCTTTGATTTAAATTTCACGCTGGAGAAACAATGGTTTGGATTAAGGAAGAAACAGTTGGTGAAGTGTCATGAAAGGAAAGGAGGAGACGGAGGCCCTGGTCACCAAAGTGGGCCCCAAACTTTGAAGCCCACATTCCAGAGGTTTCTCGGGGCTGCCGTCCTGTCACCTCCTGCCCAGTGGCTCCTGACCTCTTCAGCCGCACACACGAGGCTTCCCGAGGCCGGGGCTGGGCGGGCTGTGGCCGGGGCCTGGCCCCTCCTCTTACAGAAGGGGAAGCTGGGGGTCAGAGAGGACCCACCACCTGCCCGGGATGATGATGGTTCTGATGGCTTCTGTGAAGGCCTGGGGGGAACGAGGCTGACTCCTCCCGTTCTGTTGGCCCGGGGCTCAGCCTCAGTTTCCCCACCGAGAAGGGAGAAGGACGCTACAGAATCTGCCGTCTCCCCTGGAGCCCAGGCACCCGGGGAGGGCTGGCGAGCGTTGGAGTACTTCCTGGACTCTGGGCAGGGCGCGTCCCCAACACCGTCCACACCGAGGCCCCAGCTCCCGGACCCCCACTGCACAGACCAGCAGACGGGGCTCTGACAGGCTGCGGGGTTCACTCCCTCCCCTGGATGGACGCGCAGTTGGCTCTGGGGCTGGGTCCTGTGGCCAAGGGTGTGTGTGTTGGGTGGGGCTGGACAGGCAGAGCTGCAGCGGTGTGGAGACGTGCCCCCCACGTGCTGCGGCATCACCAGTGCCCAGCGCCGGGCAGGTCCTCCCTGGTCGGGTGAGGAGGGGTTCCCGGGCCTGGCCCAGCCGCGTCTCCTGAGGGCCGCCCAGGGCTCTGTGGTGTCGTCTGGGCCGCCCTGGAACCACGCAGCCGACTTCCCCAGGGGGTGACCGCCCTGGCCTCCTGGTCAGCCCAGGGTGGGCTCTTCCACGCCCCTCCAGCTCCAGGCCTCTGGCTGTGGTTTCTGGCTCTGCCTGGGCAGGGCCGGGCTCGGTGTGCGGCAGGGGCTGTGGGGCAGGAATCGGGCTCGTCTGTGGCCAGGCACCCGGGGAGGGCGAGGAGCTGAAGGCCATGGGCCGGCTGTAGAGCACCAGATGGATTCAAACCCCGGGACCGGCGTTGCTCGTGGTGGGGGTACAGGAGCCACCGGGGCCGGGACAGAGGCGGAGGCTGGCTGGAGCCTGCGGGGAGAGGTGGCCACGGGCAGTGCCCCCACCGTCCCCCGAGCCTGCCAGGGCTGCGTGGCCGTGGCCATCTTATGGGGGTCCATGGGTGGAGGTGAGGCCAGCGGCCAGCACCTGCCGTGCCTGCCCCCTGTGCGCCCGCCTCCCCCATAGCCAGGCCAGGGCCCCAGGGCACAGCAGCCACACGGTGTCTTTGCAGAAGTTCGGCCTCCCTTGGTCCACGAGGAACACTGGTCTCCTCTCTGGTCCATCTCACGAGAAGTAAGAGGAAGAGGAACCCGCAGATGCAGGCAAGGAGACCCCAACCTGCCGCTGCTTCCTCCAGCGGGTTTCCCCTCTGCCGCTGAATGCCGAGGTGTTGGCCCACGTGGAGAAGAAACAGGGCGAGGGCTGGACAGAGTGGCCTGGTGCGACGAAGGACCAGGGCAAGGGTAGGCAGCGTGTCGCTCCCCCACGTACAACCAGCTCAGTCAACATCAACCTTGAAAAGTGTCAGGAGATGGGAAGAATCTAGTGCTGTGTGGCCACGGACAACCTGCTGGCCTTCTCTGGGCCTCTGTCATTCCAGCCATAAAATGAGAGACTTGGTTTCATCAGTGACCCTGGCTGCTCTGGGGACCTTTTAACACATGCACTTTCTTGGTCCTAGGTGGGCACCATTTCAACCCACCCCAGGGGCTTCTAACCGTGGTCGAGAGCCCCTAGCAGGCCCTGTGCATGGGGATTACGCGGGTGCCTGTCAGAGAGGCCGCGGCTGGAGTCGGGCTCCGCGCTCACCGGCCGCAGCGGGCCTGGCCTGCACTGCCCATCTGTGGCTGGCGTCGCCTTCCCTGCCGGGCTGAGGGAGGGTCCAGCGGCCTGGTTTGCCAAGGGTCTGGCGCATGTCATGCAGGGACCCGAGAAGCTGCTGCTGGGACCCGTCTTGTCCACAGCGGGCTGCCCCGGCTCGGCCCTGAGCCCAGTGGGTGGGCAGCTGCCCAAGGTGGCCGGGCAGCTCTGTGCCCAGGGCCGTCAGCGCCAGAGCTCTGAAGGCTGGAGCCAGGGGTGGGGGGATCACTGCACCCAGGTTGCTGCCCCACGGTGACCGCTGGCCGCTGCTGGCATATTGGGAGTGACAAGGACGACTCTGGATTCTGGAAGCCTGGGCTCAGGCCTGGGCCCCAGGGAAGAGGAGGAGGTGAGGGATCCCCAGCGCTGGGCCCAGGCTTGCTGCAGGGAGCCCAAAGGCCTGGAGTGGGGTCAAAGGTGACTTCAAAATGTCCTGAGCCTGCTGGCTTCAAGCTCTGCTCTGAGCCCTTTCCACCGACCTCCTCCACCATCCCAAACCTGAACTTCCATGGTCTCTGGTTACAGAGGAAACAGCAGAGGCACAGAGAGGTCTACAAGTTGCCCCAGGTCACAGAGCTAGGCAGGAGGAGAGTCAAGTCCAAACTGCACGCGGCATCGCTGTGCCATAGACCCCAAGTGTGGCCATCCAGGTAAATGTTCAAGTCTGCTGCCTGGCTTCAGATCCCAGCTCTGCCACTTACGGACTGTGTGACCTTGGGCGATGTTCTCAGCCTCTCTGTGTTTCTGTTCCCCATCCATGAATGGGGTAAAAATGGAGTGTGTGCCTTATGGGGTGAAGGTGGTGCTTAACACGTAAACCAGCCTGGCCCAGCGTCAGCCCACGTTAGTGCAGGCTGTGCTCACCACGGCTGTGTCACGTGTGCAGATGGCACACTAGGACGCCCAGCAGCAGGTGGCAGGAGGACGTCCACCTGGGTTTCCGTCTTTGACCTCCGTTGTGATCTCTGGTCATCAGGGAGACCCTCTGAGCCGGGTGTGGACGGGCCTCACGAGGGCTCTTCTGCCGGTCGGCTGCCTTCTTCAGAGAAACCCGAGGGAGAATGTGGTCATTGTCCCTGTGTCCTGAGTCCCAGACGTGGGCGTGCACAGGGGGCAAGACAGGCCATGCGGGTGACTAGAAATCTCGGCCCCGCTGCACCTGGGGTCGCCGGCTGCCGTGGCCCTGAGCTCAGGCCTGGGACGTGGGTGCTGCCCCCCCCCACTTACCACGGACCTTCATCCCACGAAGCCTCCTCGGGCCCCAGGGGCTAAGCCCGTCCACACCTTGCCACATCCAGTGTGAGGCCCGGGGACACATGGGGCCTGGCCAGGAATGGAGCCCGAGCTCCGGTGACCGAGTCCGCAGGAGAGCAGCTCCCCCAGGTCATCCACCAGCAAAGCTCAAGGTGCCCCCTCAAGTCGCCAGAGGGAAGCTGGGTGCCCGGAGAGGCCTGCGGGGCGGGGACTGGGGAGGCAGTGCTCCCAGGGACGAGGAGGGAGTGCAGAGACCAGGAGGGCGCACACAGGGGCCCAGCAGTGCCAGGACCATGCTGAGCCCCAGAGTGGAAGGGGCCTGGGCCTGGGGGAGACAAAAAGGAAGGAGGGACAGGGCGGGGTCCTCAAGGGCGTTGTGGTCAGGGTTTGGCCTTCATCCCGAGATCCAGAAAAACCTGAGAAGAAACCCGGGGCAGGGGCTGAAGTGCTCCCCCACATTCTGCTGAGAAGGGATTGGGTAGAGGGTCAGAGTAGACCCCTGCCCGTCACGGCTGTACAGGCCTGGGCCCAGAGCACTACTGGTAAATGACTCCTCCCCAAATCCAGTCTTCGACTCACAGAAGTAAAATTCAGATCAGAATCTTCTTATTATTTAATAACTTCTTTTTTCTGAATGTAAAGTAAACACTCCACACTGCAGGGCGTTGGGCAGTCACCAAATCTGAAGGACTCTGTGGGAAGGAAGGGTCCGGCTCCTCTCCTGGAGAACCGGGCCTCGGAGCAAGTTAACTCAGGCTTCCAGCCTGTTCTGGGCGTCAGCCTGACTCCCAGGTTCTTTGATAGGTAGTGAGTCCCCCATTCCTGGGGGCATGTAGGCTGTCTACGTGGAGTTAAAAAAAAAAAAAAAAGAAATTTAAAGCGCATCCCTCTCATCCACATGTAGATCACACACACGTCACCATTTGCCTAACTCGTGGACAAGGAGACCAGTAAGGTGACTAGAGGAATGGAGTGACGAACACCAGAGAATGAACGCGGTGTCCCTTGTCCTCACACGCCGGGCCTGTTGACAACACTCCAATCTGACGTGGGAAAGTCCTGCTGTCCTTTCTGCCCATTTCCAAGTTTCAGGTAACGTTCCTGAGTCAACCTCAGACAAACAGCTGAGAGGGAGGCTGCGGAGGTTCTGGTGGGAGAGGGACTGGCCAGCAGGTCACCTTTTGCTGGCCAGTCACCCCAAAACTTAGTGGCCTGAACAATCGACATGCGCTGTGCTGCCATGTCTATGGGCCCGGAGTTCCAAACAGCTCCGCTGGGCATCTCTGGCCGTGGGTCAGCGTGGATGGCATTCTTCTGAAGGTGGGACTGGGGCTGACTTGGGACCCACTCCAAGGGGCTCGCCCCCGGGGCAGAGAGCTGATGTGGACTGTCGATGGGCCTTCTGTGTGGGCCTCTCGGTGGGTTCAAGGATGTCCTTAAAACATGGCGGCCAGGCTCTCTCAAAAGTGATGGATCCCAGAGAAAATAAAGCAGAAAGGCAGAATGTCTTCAATGACCTTGCCTGGGAAGCCACAGCCCATCATTTCTGTAACATTCTGTTGGGGACCTAGGTCAGCCCTGCCCATTGTAGGTGGGGACTTCACCAGGGGCTGAATATCAGAAGGCTAGGGTCATGGTGGCATCTTGGAGCCCGGTCCTATAGTCGGGTACTCTAGGTCCTTCAGGCAAGAAGTGGGGTTGGGGCGGGCAGTAGGAAGGGCACCTCCAGTGTCCCCGGGGTCCCGGATCCCTCTTCCTCACCTGCTTGAAGCTGCTACACAGGCAGGGCCCAGGCAAGTGCTTCCACTTCTGAGTCTCTTGTGGTAGCCCCTGACGAGTCTCCAGAGTGGCTTTCCCACGCCAGTTGCACCCAGAAATAGTCTCTGGAACAGCTGGGGTGGGGGCGTCCATCAGCCACACCTTGGTGCGAAGCGGTTCATCTTCTGGGTAGAAACAGCATGGCATCTGGGTGGCAGCGGGCGGAGAGTGGGGCCAGTGTTGTACGGAGCAGGGGCCAAGCAGCGCCCCTGGGGAAATACAGAAGGCAGGAAGGACCCCTTCGCCCAACCAAGGGGGGCCACGGACCAGAGGCCACGCTCCCAGGAGGCCTCCCACCCCGAGTGTCCAGGAGAGGGACCTGGTTCCAAGAGCCTGGAGCCTGGGGTCGCATCCTGGCTCTTCTTCCCTTATGTCTGCCGAGACCCCAGGAGACCCTCCCCTCTTGGGTGCTCAGCCCCCCTGGCGGGAGCAGCCAGGACCTGGTGGTGAGTCTGGAGCCAGCTCAGGGCTTCCAATGGGGTTTGGCCCCTGCCTTGACCGTGTCTTGGGGACAGCCAGACCCCTCCTCCCGCCTCTCCTCCTGGAGGAGGTGGGGCACCAGGAGGGAGGGCGAGGGCCCCTGGGGGCTCCTGCCCAGGGAGGGGGACAGGGTCCGACGGGCTGGAGCTGCAAGTCTGTGAGAACCTCCCAGAGACTGTCACTGGAGGGGGGGGGGGCTGCCGGTTTTGGGGGTAATTATTTTGCAAAACTTTATGAAGTTTCGGAAAATCTCGTTTCCCCTTCATTGACTCCATTGTTTTTCAAGGGAAATTGAATTAGAAGCTGGTGGCTGCTGGAGGGGTGGGCAGGGGAGCAAGCGCATGTTTTTCTAACTAACTGGGCATCTGTCCTGTGCCAATAATTCCAGAAGCTTCTTGCGCTTGGCGTTGGGGACCACCAGGGCTGCACCAGGGATGGGAGAGGGAGCCCCGGCCGCTCTGGGGACAGTAGCAAGATGAGAGGCCCCCCCATCGCCCCCTTCCCTGGGCTGGGGGACAGTTGGGATGTAGCGGAGAAGTGGGGCTCGGCCTTTGGTGCAGGCGCATGGGCCTAGGAGCAGGCTGTGCAGAGAGCCTGGTGGCCTCTGGTGGCCCCGGGCCTCGGTGTCCCTCCTTGGAGAACTGCAGCCACCAGTGGGGCCCCTGAGGGCGGAGTCGGTTGCAGGCAAGATGGAACCGGAGCTGCTCTGCAAAGTGAAGTGTGCCCCCGTATCACTGTGACTGTCACCCACCCTGATGGGCAGCATCCTGCAGGCGGGTGCTGGGATGGGTGCAGGTTGGCCAGGGCCATGGGAGAGAGCGCGGGGATCCGCTGGGGACACCTGGTGCAGCTGCAGCTCTGGAGGTGCCCGTCAGGTCTCGCCTGCTCTGACTCCGTCCAGTTCTCCTGGCACAGAGCCCTCAGGAGCCCAGGGATGTCAAAGGGCCACTTCCTTGTCCCCACACTCACCCGCTGACATGTCCTCCCTCAGAACCACCCTGGCTCCTGCTGCCGTCAAGGTGAAGGCCCACATTTCTAGATGCCCTCGGACCTGGTACCAAGCGCCTCGGGCATGTGCTGTCCCTGGTCCCCGCCTCCTGGTCCTGCCACAGCCCAGGGAGCAGCTTCCCCTCCCGCACCCCACGCCCAGCCCCCAGCACGTGCTCTCTCCTGCGAACAGTGAGCGGGCAGCGGCTGTGACAGGCCCGGTGAGTTCATGGTGTCCGTCTCCCCTTTCCTGCGCACAGCGAGGCACACGGGTCCCCTGAGTAATGAGAGGAGTGTCCCAGCCCTCAGGAGGGGGCAGCTTCCTCGCTGGATCCCGGGCCTCTGAATTCCTTTCCAGTGCTCCTCCCAGGCCCCTGCTGTCCACCCCCCACGCCCCGTGTCACCTCTCGTGGCTTCCCAGGGCCACTGAAGCCGTGCCCCTCTCCTCCCTCCACATCCCTTCAGAAGCAGCGGAGACCCGGATGTGGCCACTGCCTAGCTGTGTGACTCAAGAATGGAGGAAACCCTGGTGGAATCCCGCTGTCCTTTTCCAGGACTCAAGACGTCCATCTGTCCCCTGGAAATGCTCCCAGTAGGCCACTCTGGAGATCTGACAGAGCTTTTATTGCTAAGTGTCAATGAGCCAGTGCAGAGGAGCCCAGGGCTGGGGTCTAGATCACTCTTCTCTCTCACTGTGTGGCCTTGGACAAGTACCTTACCCTCTCTGGGCCTCCTTCTTCAAGGGATCTCTCCACCTCCAACAGACAAGGCTCCTTTGTGTCCCTAACATAGTACAGGTCTGGGACTGCCTTGGAGATATAGTATGGACCCCATTGTCCCCTGCTCTGAGGACCTGGGCTCCCGAGCCCCATGCTGGAGCCCCTTCCTACAAGGCCCTGTGTCTCGGGCTGCCACAGTGGAGGTACCCGAGACCCCTGATTGGCCCACCTGGGCTCCAGAAGCTCCTAAGTCCACCCCAGGAGGCAGCTCTGCTCTCCCAAGTGTTCTGCGAACTACAATACCTCGGAAGGAAGCCAACGTTTAGTGAAGACATTGACCTTGTCAACAAAAATAAAAACAAAGCCCGTATTTCACGAATGTGCACACGCTGGCTCTGACTGAGGTCTTCTGGCTTCTCGATGGTGTGACAGTGTGTGTCTGCAGAACGTACTTCATGCTTCCAATTTGGGTCTTCTCCTGGGCTAGCAATAGGAGCATCCTGTTCCTGTCCCCTGGGCTTGGGCTGTTACTAAGCTCCGGGGGCAGCAGGCTCGGTGGCTGAAGGCATTTGAGACTTGAGTTCACACTTACCAGGACGTAACCCGTGGTGAGCTGCGCGGCATCTGTGTGCGTTGTCTGCATAAACACAGAGCTCGTTACAAAACATCATAAAGGGAGGCTCCACCCACTCAACAGAAACGGGGAAGAGTCGGGGGACGCGGACTCTGCCTGCTGGACATGTCCACACGCTCCACAGCCACCTCCAGCTGCCGCTTGGCCTTGGAGCCCTGCTCCTGCTCCTGCTCCTCCTCGGGGCTCCGGGAAGCAGAGTCCAGCCTCCGGGCTTTGCTCTGGAAGTTTCCGCACCTGAAGGGGCCTCCATTCAGGGTGGTCTTGCTGTTCTCCAAGGCGAAGGCGAGGGTGGTGGGCAAGGGTTTGGGGCCCTGAGCTCAGAAAGGCCGGGTCCCGGTGCCACCGGCACCCCTCCTGGGACTTATGCAGGCCCTAGAGCCTCGGGTCTCTGAAGGGGATCCCGAGTGTGTCCTCCATCTGCTCTGAGTTGCTCTAAGGTGCCAAGGACGCTGCCTGGCATGGGCTCTCTGCAGGATTTTAGGACACCAGCGATTAAATAATCACGAGAGCCACAGATAGCACACCCTTGCTGACTGCTCAGTGCAGGCCCTTCTCGCCTCCCTCAGCAGGGGACACAGTGTGGCAATGTGGTGCCACCTGTCCAGAAACCGTCACCTTGTTCCCAGGACATGCAGGGCCTAACATGTCAGGTTGAGTGACCAAGCACCCAGCATGGCTGCCTCGGGTCTGGTCATCACCGACACACTGCTTGAGCACCGGCGGCGCACCCTGGCTGGGACTGGTTAACTGCATCCCTCGACCTCCCCTTGTGATGCCTAAATTTCCCAAGACGTGTGGTATGCAGTAGGTGCTCAGCAAATGTGTGTTGCTGGTGGGGCTGCGGGTGCAGAGGGTGGACCAGCTGCAGGATCCCATCAAAGCCCGACCTCAGGGCAACCGCCACCCGGAGCCGATCCCAGACGGTCTGAGACTTTGATTTTCAAACCGCATGAATGTGTCGCTAATGGCTCAGCCGCTACTGTTGCATAGCAAATTACCCCCAAATGCAACAGCTAAAGCAACTGTTTTATTTCGCTGGGACGTTGTGGTCAGGAATACGAGAGGCGTGGCCGGCATTTCTTGTTTGGGGTCTCCTAGGCCACTGTGGTCAGAGGCTGGCCGGGGCTGTGTCCATCTGAAGGCTTGACAGGCTGGAAGTCCAAGTGGAAGCCTCACACAGCTGGTGGCCGATGCTGCCTGGTGGCCAGGAGCTGGGCGGGCCGGTGGCTGGAGGGCTCCATGTGGCCTCCCAGGGTGGCAGTCTGTGTGAAAGCTGGCTTCTCCTGCACGAGCCTCCCTGACCCACCAGGCTGCGGCTGTGCCGCCTTTTACAACCCAACCTCGGAGGTCACTTTGTGTCCCCTTCATCACACTCTGGGTGGAAGCAGACACAAGGCCACCCAGATTCACAGGGAGGGGGGCACGAAGCCCACCCCTTGAAGAGTATCAAAGAATTTGAGTCATTAAAAAAAAAAACTCCATGCTGATTTTAAAAATTGAACTAACTTAATTTTTAGAATATTTTAAGGAAACCTTATATCTCTACACTAAACAGAAAACCGGTATCAAGTAACTGCAAAAACAGAGACAGCCCAACTCAGGATGGTTGGACTTCACCTTGGTGGGAAAGCGCTGTGCATTCAGGAGAAACCTCCGTGGAGTTCTGAATTAGCATCTTCTCCAGGGAGTGTGCGGTGGCCCAGCCCTCGCTCCCGACCAGCTAGAGACCACGAGGGACAGCCCACGCTCTGTGGTGCGCTGGTGGCCAAGCCGGGATGCTCCACGGGTCAGGCGGGTTCAATGCCCACCGAGAGCTAAGGAGGGTCTGCATGGGGTCTGCAAAGCCCTGACCCTCCTGCTTCTGAGGGATGAGCCCAACACCTCCGTGGACACAAACGTACTCATGCACGTGAGCTGGGGTCCAGGCCTGGTTAGCAGGGTCCGGGTCTCTGCCCAGGGTCTCCCAGGCTGCAGTCAAGGTATCAGCCGAGCTGACGTCTCCTGCAGGCTCAGGGGCCTCTTCCAAGCCCTTCGGTCACTGGGAGAGTCCAGTCCACTCTGGCTGTGCCAAGTCTCTGGGTCTTGCTGGCTGCCAGTCAGGCACCGCCTCAGCCCTGCAGGGCCTCCCGCAGCTCCCGGCTGTGTGTCCCCAGGCGGGCTGGAGCGCACCTGTCCACAGTTCACCTTCTTTTAAAGGTTCCTGGATAAGGTTAGGCCTCCAGGATAAACTCAAGGTCATGTTCACAGTTCTGCCCGCGCTCAAGGGCTCAGGGTGACCCAGGAGTGCGTGCAGGGGAGGGGTCTGGGGGCCCCTGCAAATGTTATGAAACCCCAGTGAGACGCCGTCATCTGCCACTTGGGTTAGGAGAGAGGCTGGCAAGACCGTCAGCACGTAACTGGGACTCCTGCCTGGTGGCAGAAACAGGCATGGCCACCGTGGGAGCGGGCACTCCATTCCCCCCGTTGATGTTCTACCAGCGGTCCTCCAAGTCCCTCCTAGAGCACCTTGAGACCAAATCACCTTCAGGTCTCTCCCCTGGCACTCTGAGACTGGGGCCATCAGCTTCAGCTTTGTTCTTCTTGGTCACATGGCCTTAGGCTGGTCATGGAGGCAGGAGAATGAGCTCTATAAACTGTAGAGTGCTGTACCAACACGGGGCTCTTGTTAGCAGTGCCACCTCCTGAGCTGAGTGGAGCTGGACGAGGCCTCTCCTCCGGGTACTCAGACTGGCTGGGCAGAGCGGCCTGCAGCCCACCCACTCTCATGACGTCGGGCGGCCTGCCAGGATCCACACCAGTGGAGGCTCCGCGGGGCCAGGCTGTGCCCTCTCAGGGTCCTGAGAAGAGGGGGGCTCAGGCTTCTTCCATACGAATACCCTTCCTGACTGTTCTCCAGACCAGCGTCAGAGGCCGTGCACCAACCCGAATCCACCATTTTCATGGTTCTCTATTAGGCTTTAGAGGGAGGAGTCTTCAGTGAATCAAGCCTGTGATTTTCATAAATAAGATTCCCCTCTCTCCCCCTCCCCCTCCCTCTGTCCTCTCCCCTCTCTCCCTCTCCCCCCTCCCTCTCCCTCTCTCCCCTTCCCCCTCCCCCTCCCCTCCCTCTCTCCTCCTCCCCTTCCCCCTCTCTCCCTCCCTCTGTCCCCTCCCCCTCCCTCTCCCCTTCTCTCTCTCCCTCTCTCCCCCTCCCCCCTCTCTCCCCTTCCCCCTCCCTCTCCCCCCTCCCCCTCCCCTCCCTCTCTCCTCCTCCCCCTCCCCTCCCTCTCTCCTCCTCCCCTTCCCCCTCTCTCCCTCCCTCTGTCCCCTCCCCCTCCCCCTCCCCTCCCTCTCTCCTCCTCCCCTTCCCCCTCTCTCCCTCCCTCTTCCCCTCCCCCCTCTCCCCCTCCCCCTCCCCTCCCTCTCTCCTCCTCCCCTTCCCCCTCTCTCCCTCCCTCTTCCCCTCCCCCCTCTCCCCCTCCCCCACCCCCTCCCCTCTCTCTGCAGTGCTGGAGGTGAACTCAGGGCCTCACACACACCTGTGCACTAAGTAAGTGCTCTACAGTGAGCCACATCCCCAGGCGCACGGATAAGATTTCTTAGGCTGAAGCTAAATCTATTTAAGTGAAAAGAATGAATCCGTTTTTTAAAAAGTTAAGGAAGGAATAGTATATGCAAGATGAATGTAGGGTAAGAAAGGCCAGGAAGCTATTCCTGGAATGACTGATATTTGGGAAAAAACATTTTTGGGACGGGAATCCACCGCAGAACAGCTGGATGCCCAAGATGGCGGGTGTGGCTCCGTCCCTCCTGGAGTCACCAAGCAGAGAGCTTAGACAGGTCACTGTCCTGTCCCGAGGCCTTGAGTTCAGGATGCGCACCTCTAGCAACAGGCAGAGGCACTGAAGCCGACAGAAGGTCTGCAAGGACCAGGTGCCGCAGGATGGCCACTCTGCGGCTCCAGAACAGCTGACCAGTGCCGCAGTCCGCATCCAGGAGACCCAGGGCCTGGGCAGCCGCCAGGTGCCAACTCCCTGCAGGGCAGACCCTGAGTGGCCCTGGAGGCTTCTGAGTCTTTTTTCTGGTGGCCAAGGAGGGGACGTGGAAGGAGAAAGCCTGTGGCCTGGGTGGCGGGGCCCAGGGTGGGGTGGCTGGAAGACACAGGCGACCCGCAGACCTTCACCTCCAGCACAAGTGCCCACAGGGGCAGAGGGTAAACAAGCTGTCGGCCAGCCCAGCCTGGCTCCTGGTGGGCACCACAGGCCAGAGACGGGGCTCAGGAGGGGCCACTCAGGGAGACCAGGGCAGATGCCACAGAGGTGGTGTGGCCAGGTCAAGGTTCCCAAGGATCAGACCACAAACCCCGCCCAGCTCCAGGGATGGGGACTCAGAGCCGGGATTCTGCGGGGACTTGGGAGCCTCTCTCCACTAGGGAGGCCTGAATGGAGGCACCGGCAGGAGAGGGGGGCACGGTGGGAGGAAGGGGGAGCACTCTCGCTGCCTGAGTGGCTCCTTGGAGTTCTGACTGTCAGAGCCGCCTGCCCTCTTTGGCCCGGGGAGGAAGGTCCTATTACAATCCTCACCTTATAGATACGAAAACTGGGGCCAGCAAAGCTAAAAACGTGCCCAGTGTCACACAGCAGGGAAGTGGTACAGGCCACCACGGCAACGCCAGTGGTCACTGCCCTCAAGGGCCAAAGTGCAGCCCCAACCAAGAAGACCTGTCTTTCCCATGATTACGATTCACCAAGATGCGCCCGTGGCCACTGGCT